TGGGGAAAGCCCAGACCTGTCACATTTTTTACAGGTCTGAGGCTTGCTGGTTGTTGTGGAGTTGTGAGGTTCCAGGTGAGCTCAGCTTAGCTGCCTGGGATGCCAGCTTTTGCATTGAAAAACCTTTTGTCAGGCTGAGAAAACACCTGCATTTTGTGCGTCTCCTCGTCCTAGATGAAAGAAATAGTAAAGAAGCCAGAGGCTGGCCTGGCACACAATTCAGGCAAGAAAGCCAGTCAATGAAAATGGAAATGGAGGTGTCAGGGGGTGAGGGTGGGGTGGGGGGGGGCAGAAGGGGGATGTAGCAGCACAGGCAAAAGTGCAGAGGTGCCCGGGGAGTCAGATGTCTGGCAGGTTGCAGTGTATCAGAATTCTACTGTGTATATTGAGTCAATGAATTTTTGTACCTAGAAGGCTGAAGAAGTGACGTTCAGAGGCCCGGCTGTGAAAAGTGGTTTGTAATTTGTTTCCTCTCAAGATCAGGCCTGAGAGACTGGAGGAAGTGTGCTTTTTTGGTGAGGAATGTGCCAACCCAGGTAGTTGGGCTTTGTTGGCTTTGATGGATTCTGGTGTGCAGTTTGTGGGGGTACTAGAGATAGTTGGCAGGTTTTGTGTTTTGAGCTGTATGAAGTTGGCTTCAGTTCTGGTGATGAGGTTAGGTGCTTGTTTGAATGTACAAACCACTTTTCAAAGCTGGGCCTATGAACTGCACTTCATCAGCCTCCTAGGTAGTAGGTACAGGAACTCATGGACTCAATATAGACAGTTGAATTCTGGCAGGCTGCAACCTGCCGGACATCTGACACCCCAGGCACCTCTGCACTTTTACCTGCACTGCTACGTCCCCCATTCCCCCCCACCCCATCCTGTCCCTCACCCCCTGAGACCTCCATTTCCACTGACTGGCTTTCTTGCCTGCATTGTGTGCCAGGCCAGCCTCTGGCTTCTTTACTATTCCTTCCATCCAGGACCAGAAGACACATCAACTGCAGGTACTTCCTCAGCCTGACAAAGGGTTTTTCAACCTGCAAGCTTCCTAAGATGTATTTCTCTAACTATTCGGGGGGGGGTTTCATAATAAACATAAAACACAAGATAAGCCATCACACATGAGTAACATATATCCAACAACATCTTTAGTTCTTGCTTTCAATTCCTTTATAAAAAGAAAGGATCTGTGACAGTTCTATTTGCCTACCTTAGATGTTGCTGGTGCTACTGGTGCTGACTGCTAAGTCACCTATGTTATTTTTACCTACTGCCATTTACAGTGGTGGACTGAACTGAGGCTATAGGGGAGGAGGAGACCTCAGTGGGGCACACTGCCGTGTTGTGCAGCAGCCCCAGCACCAGGAAGGGCACACCTAAACACACACACACACACACAGTCACACGGTGAGGGTGCACCTAACAGACATGCACTAGGTGCTCCTACTTGATAGGAAAGAAGAGCCTGACAGTTCAGTTTGCCTGCCTTAACTGCTGGTGCTATTGGTGCTGAACCACCTACATTATTTTTACCTGCTGTCGTTTACAGTGGTGGACCAGGCCAAGGCTGTAGGGGAGGAGGAGGAGGCCTCAGTGGGGCACACTGCCATGTCATGCAGAGGCCCCAGCGCCAGGAAGGGCACACCTGAACACACACACACACACACACACACACACACACACACACACACACACACATGCAATGTCACCCACCCATGTCACAAGTTTTGCCTGCTGTCAAAGGTGCAGGGACCCAGAACCCAGACTACCCCTGCACCTATCTCCTTGACAGCTGGCCGGCTTCGTGGCCACAGCAGGGCCTAGCAGGCCTGCAGCAGCTTTTTTTCACCCTAAAAGAGACACAGCTGACAGGCTTCATAGGCACAGCAGGGCCTAGAAACCAGTAGTTCCCCGCCCCACTGTGCCCTAAGACAGACACAGTTGTACAAGCACCCATGACAGGAGTTTTGCCTGTTAACAGCCAGAGGTGCAGGGCCCCAGAACCCCCCTGCACCTATCTCCTTGACAGCTGGCAGGCTTTGTGGCCACAGCAGGGGCTAGCATGTGTGCAGATTGCACCCTGCTGCACCTTAACAACACAGTGTCACCCATGTCACCAGTTTTTGTTGTCTGCAGCTCAAGGTGGAGTTTCTCCAAAACCCCTGCATCTATGTCTGTGAAACTTGGCAGGCTTCATGCCATCAGAAAGGGCTACTATTTCTGCAAGTTTCAGCCAAATCAGGTCAGAAATGACAAAATTATAGGCTGTTTTGAGCTTCCCCATTATAGCCTATGGGCGAAACGTTGAAACAGCGAAAATGTTTCGACAAAACAGAAAAGAACAACGGTTTTGAGTCAAAACAAAATTTGAAAGAAATGCTGTTCCATCAAGATGCAGGTCAAAATGGAACAGTGCTGTTTCGCACAGCCTTACTAGAAATCTGGTTGGAAATCTAGAAAGAATAGGGCTCAAAGGGACCTTGAGAGGTCAACTAAATCCAACCCCCTGCCAGAGGCAGAGTCTCTATTGAACCCATCCCAGAAAATCCTTGACTAACCTATTACTAAAATTACACAAGCAGCCCTGCCACACAGCCAAAGCATAGCACCTTACCTGCTACAGGTAAAGCAGGGCAACAATGACAGCCAATGCCCTGATGCTTCAAGAGTTGTCAAAATATGTTCAAGAGATCCAAGGAAGAGGGCCACACTCCCTTCTACAGAAGATGTCTCTATAGTCTTAGCATCTTGAAATTCCAAAAAAAATTAGTTATACAAACCCACAGACTCATGCCTACTTTCATGCATAATCATCGCATTTTCTTTTTAGATACTGTTTTTAGATACTGCCGTAATAGTAGTCATAGAAGTTACCTTGTTTGAATTGTATTTAATAACTCAAAATGACAGCACCTGATTTTAAAATTTTAGAACAGAGTTCCAAACTGGGTTTGATGTGATGAAGTACAGAAGCATAATACCAATTCCTAATAAACTCAATATACAACCTTGCTGTATATCCAAATACAACAGGAAAAAACAAAATCAGTAACAATGTTAGGTATGGACACTTAACCTTAATTTCAGTCATTTAAGATGAATTGGTTATTTTTTGTATCCAGTACAGATATTGCTTGGCAGACAACACATTCCCACTAGTAACACACACACTTTCTTACCAACCTTATTAAAAAGCTTTACATCACAATTTTATAGGCATTTGCTTTTTGACAAAGGTATTATGCCTGAGCAAAAATGACACAAGGTGACAATACAATTATTCCAACCAGTGATTTAGGACAAGTAGATAACCATAAAGCAGATATCAAGCTCCAAAATTTGGTACAGCTTGCACATTCACCATTCAAGGGTAACTTGTGAAACAGTAATTGGAGCTAACATTCTTGACTCAGCACCTTATTACAACAACTTAGAGAAGAGCACTTCATCGTTAAGCAGAACAATGCTCTCATTAAACTGCAGACTTCTCTCATAGGGCCATGCCTCCAAAGCCAGGTGGATTGTGTTGCTGAAACTTGAGTACTAGCACAAACAGATAAAAGCATCAAGTAACATGTTGCCATGCAATCCTCTGCCTTCTCAAATTTTTTTATACGTACAAGAAAAGGAAGACAGTTTCATTCAGATCAGAGCAACCATAAATATATTACATATAAGCCTCTCTAATTCAACATTTAGCCTTTCAAGATTCTACCTAAACCATTTCTAGTTAAGTTGTTTGTTCTCCTTCATTCACAGAAAGCAGCAAGTACAAACCTGCCATATTTAACTTACCAGATTTGACAATTAGCTCACTTTAAAACAAGCAGTGAAAGGTAGACTTGGAGTTAGCCTTTTACAGGCTGAACATATTATCCTCTTGTAAAAATATTTCTTATATATACTAGTACATTTTAAATAAGCATTTTATAAGCATCGGTTGCATTCAATATGGAACATTTTGAATATATTGTTTATATACTGAAATATTCATTAATGTATCACATTAATTTTAGTGGATATTATTTCCCAACACTCTTTATCCCCCTTACTTTCCATTGGTGAAACTTAAAATGTCATTATGCAATTATGTATAAAGTACTATCTTCATAATGACATTCTGTGAGTAAAATATACAGAGCTCTGAAACAAGCCATCACTTAGCTACTTAGCATTATTTCACAACCTATAGTTATTACTGTGCAGACTTTTAAAAATAACACCACAAATTATGTTTGTACAAGCATATAATTAATCAAATAGTATTTCTGAAACCTGCAAAAATGAACAAAATAAAACACTGTTTCTTCATAGTCTCCTTAAAAACTAGTTCTCTCATCAAAAGACAAACATCTGAATCAATATTGAAGGCTATACTTACAATACTTTATTAAGGGGAGATATACACAATAGCTTACAGTGCAACAGGAACTGATAAGAAATAAAACATGAAGAGCCAATAATAAGTGTCTGAATGCAGAAGCTTAAGGGGGCAGCAGGGGAGAGAGTAGGGGAGAACAATATGTACATCAAAGGCAGAAGACTAAGTTACAGGAGAGAAACAGTATTTTATGCCCTCAGATACATGTTTTATTTTTAAAACGATATATATTTTTAATAATTTCTCTTTGTTTCTATCTATAAATTGAAAGAAGATGATTTATTTGGCATATATTATGTATACATGCATGTGCACATGCACACACTCACCCCTCACTGCATGAAAAAGCAACTGTTTTAAGACAGTTTAGCTCTTGGCTTTAATTTTAAGGAAAAAAAAAAAAAAAAAAAACTTACTTAGCAGTTTAAAGTTTCATGCTTAGCCAGCTTAGGGATATCCAGTAAGTTTCCCTGCCAAGCCTGTTTACTGAGCATCTTTTACAGAACAACCTATTTTCACTATCTAGTTTCAACATAAACAGTGTAAAACGTAGAGTTACTCCAATTTCTTTGAAACATAAACAATTTAGCATAATAATACCCAAAATAATAGTAATATGAGCAACAAATACCTTATCATATTAGACCAGAAAGCACACAATCATTCTCCACGTTCTGCTATGCATTCCAACTGCTTTAGTTATCACAAGCAACTAGCTGTGTACTCCTACTAGGAATTTGTCTGCCCTCTATCTGTAGCTATTAGCTCAGCATGTTGAATCAGTGGCATTGGAGCAACAGCAATTAGTTTTACTGCTCTCACAGCAATACTGGAGAGAGCTGAGTGAGCTAAAGCACACAGTGACCACTGAGCTCTTCACACCAATTAGTAGCAGGTGCTACAGCCCAAAAGACAAATTGGTATCCCACTGATAATCAGATCTAGCTTCTTTAATGTACTATGTCCAGTTGCCTATTCTAGTGGCTCCTTGTTTGCTTTTTTCTCTCTCATCAGTGGCAAAGAAGCCCAGCCGCTTACATTCATTTACAATGTCACTTGACAAGAAAAGAGTAATCTCTTTAAACCCCTTCCCAGCACAAACAGCTCAGATAGTTAAATGTGCATTATCCTAAATAAGGATGACCAAATATAAGGGTCAAAAAATAAATACAAGAAAAACAAAAATAAAACAAAAAGGAGAAATATTATTTTCAAAAGTCTTTATTTTTCTTAAATAAGTCACTCGATAAAATTCTCTTTCTGCTAAAAGCAGATGGAGAACATACACGATTTCCATTTTAAAAGAGTAAGATTGTATGGAAACCCAATCAAGCTTATTAAGATATGAATAATTAATAAGACCAGGTGGGACTCCAGAAAGGGCTCTGACCCCATCTGAAACCTATATCTGTAACAGTTTAAAGGGTTCCTGATGTTACATACATTTGTACATCTCTAAACACTGACATCTGAGACTGAAAATTAAATTTAGAGTTGCCGCATTTCTTAATGAAAAGAACTTCAGAAATTAGAGGAACATAAATAAAATGCAGTAAAGATAGGTTATCTTGGGAGAAGAGGTGGAACCTGGGCCCTTAGATCACCAATTTAAATCAGATGAGAGTGGCAACTATGGCAGCTGTTACCTTTCAGTGGCTTAACTGAAATGATTTGGTGGTTTTAGTAAGTTTCCTAGTGCAACAGTCAGACTGACCTTTGTCAGGAAACGGAGAGACTGAATAGGAATTAAAACTGAAACACATAAGGCAACTTCTCCAGAATACTGCTGAAGCACAACAGTGATAATAGCAGAAACATTGTCCCCTAGCTGCAATGGCTTTTTAGCTTATTCCGCTTTGTTTAATATCACTTTCTAGACCTACTTAAAAGTATTCAGAAATAAGACTAATGCCTGACTACTATTAAAATAAGGGTGGAGGGAGGGGTGAATACTTGAGAACTTTAAAACAGTATGCTCATAGTTTGTTTTTTTAAAATATTGTCCTAAGTCTATTCCATAATTAACTATGGATGGAGTTTCCACATAAATGATCTTGCAAACAGTGCATATTCAAACATGGAGACAAAGTGGTATAAACCAGTGGTGCTCCATCTCCAGCCTACACGGCTGTGTCATCCAGTCTGTAGGGATCCCTGAAAGCAGATTCCACACACAGGGTCACTCTGGAACCAGATCCAGATGAAGGGGTCACACTGAAAGACCAATGCAATGATAGATCCAGCCCAATGACCAGCCCTGAGCCACTTCAACCATGGGGCCAAAAGTTTGAGCACCCTTGGTATAAACCAAGCCTAGCATTTCTCTTTATTTTTTCTTTCCTCTCACTCTAGGTTTAATTTATATTAATGTTGATATCCACATTTTGTACAGCATATTTTCATATTTAAACATATATATTCTAAAAATTTATATAAACATATATAGAGAGGGAGATGCTTTTAAAAACAAGCTCCATGTTTTTTTTTCATAGAGATATAATTTGCCATGATGTAAAACAAGAATTACATAATATACCACATGAACAGGTGATTGCAATGGTAGGCAGGGAAAAACGCCTTAGAGCCCAAATACAATTTTTTGGATTGAATGCTTTGTTTTCCCTGATCAAGAAAATTTCTATTGGGTGAGCAGAACATTGAGGATGAGTATCTGTCATGTTCATCAGAGGACAGATTTCCTGTAAAATTCTGTGTTTAGTTTGCCTATACACATTGTATATTTATGTTACCATACCTGCACTGTAGTTAACACTACTTTTTGCTTATTTATTTATAAATCAATGTTGTGAAAAGGAGATTTTTAATCAGTAAAAATGAGTGGTTTATTTTGGAAGTATGAAAAGGCATGTCAAATCAGGCAAGCATTATTCTGCTTCAACTCCTTAACTTAAAAGTTGTTTCATTGTTTAGTTAGAATCTGTAAGGATTCCCATATATTTTCTATCTGTCTAAAAATGTTGTTCAAAGAAAGATAGCACTTTAGAGACTGAATTATCCCAAAAGTAAATTTATCACTATGAGGGCCTCTGACAGGATAAAGAATTTACAGTCATTCTTAAATATACATATGTATCTTTAGGAGGTCTTTAGATATATTTTTACTTATGGATAAGCAGCACTGAAAATGTCACCCAGGCAGGGCATGAATTGAAGCATTCATCAAAGTACTGTAACTCATTTGGTCTCTACAGAGGTTCCCTCACTCTCTCTATCTATTCCTATCAGATTTATCTTAGTGAAATGAGCTCAACTTACTGTTGTCCAAACATAATTAAATCTACTGACTCTGTATATAATAAAACTTGAAAAGAAAGATATTAACTCACCTTGGGTGCACCCAAAAAGCATTCTGCAACATTTCTCTCCACTTTCCCAACTGTGGCTACAGTATGTTTACAGTATGTGTAATTTTGTGAATGCAGTGTCCATACTGTAACACATTACTCTAACTTGTTTTAATATTATATAACGATATTTTGTTTCCCTTTTTGCTCAGTTTGAAGAACCTAAAGAATCTAAAAATAAAATAACCAGAATCCACAACTCTTGCACACATCTCTCACAGAATGTGGCATACCTCATGCACTAAATGTCCTCACAGAACGTGAATGGGTGAAACAACCACAACACCCCAGAAAGAATAATCATTGAAAAAAGATAAAGGACAAAGACACCCAAGGACCTAGAGGGAAAACTTTTCACAGAAGAATCACTCCATTTCTGACTTTACAATTCTTATACTCAAGGGTCATTTACAAAATCCTTCAGAAGATGGATTTGGGAACATCATAGCTTTACTAGCCCCTGAACACCATGGACTGAACGCTGATTTCATGACTTGTTATAATCCAATTGTTGTTACTTTCAGGCCAGGTATAGACATTACACTTGTAATGGTCTAGATTGATATGGGGTGGCACATTAATAATTATGGCACATTAATACATGTGTAGACATGCCCGCAAATGCTTATTTACACCCATAGGCAACAACCTACTTCATCAGATGGTGTAAATGGATACGGCATCTACAATGTCACCCTGTTGTACCTTTAACATATGAAGCTAACACTAATCATTATTTTATCTGATATATAGCTTAGGCAGTATTTCGATCTTCCACAAACATGAAGGGCACCTTTTGCCCCAAGACTTGTCTACCATCTGTCTAACATCTTTCCCAACAATAACACCAAAAAACCTTATTTCTTGCACGCTTCCTGGAACACATGCCAACTTTACTGAAGAAGCTAAAGAATAATCTTAAGAAACATATTTTATTTTAGGCAGAGGATAATAAAGGGTGACACCTTAAAAATGAAAATGGTTCAGAGAGTTAAGAACTTTCATAGGCAACAACCTACTTCAAATATTATAAAATGACAGGTAGAAGAACAGCTTTTATATAGAAAGGCAAGAGACAAGGGTATGGAATGCTGCTTAGATAAGTTGACTTGAACAGGGCAGCTAACACCTGGAGGGATGCTAGTCCAAGTAATAGGATAAGAAATGAAGGTCCCTCTTGAGATCATGGTTAGTATAATGAAGTCTATGGATGATACCTTGTTCTAAGTTTTGCATTCAAGTTGGTTTTTAAAGTTTCTTGGTTTAAGGATGGCTACTCTGTGATCAGTGATGGAATGTCCGTGGAGGTTAAAGTGCTCTGCCAGAGGCAGTGTATTTCTAGAACCTGTGTGGGCCGGGCACGACCCGGGCCCTTTTTTGTGCTCTGCGTGGGCTGTAGCCAGCAGCCCGGGCATGTGGGGTCGGAGAGAGGAGGCGCGTCAAGCTAGAATTAGGCACAGACTCGTAGCGGTAGATTTAAAGATTGTTTACTTACACCGGAGATGGTTGCGGTGCAGGCTGGAAAACTTGCTTGAGTTACGGTTACAGACAAAAATAACACGAACGGTCACGTGGAGTTTGCTAGGCTCCACGGAAACAGAGCCCCGGATGCTTTGGACAAGCGCGCCACCAAAATAGGAACTTCGCAAATACGTCTTATAAAATTTGTCGCTCGAAGACGGGAAGAGGTGGGCGATGGATCGGGTTGCCAAGCTCCTCTGAATCTCACACAGGGTCTCTATTACCCTGCCGTGTACCCAGAGTCCCCACAAGATGGATGTGGAATCCTCTTCGGCTTGGGCGGAAACCGCTCAAGCCTCTTATACGGCTAACAGGCCAATCGTTAGCCGCCACGTGGGAATAATTTAGAACTAGCCAATAGCAGGGAACCAATTTGCATGCGGGTGGCGGGAACTCCTTTGCACCGTGCATTTCTCTTGCAACTTGAGCAATGCACCCTGCAAAGGAAGCTGCAAATAGGCGGGAAACTCTTCCTTGCACCGGGGTTCTCCTCTGCAGCAGAAAACTCTACTGTGCAACATAGCTGTAATTTGGCGGGGATAATTCTAGTGCCGAAGCACACACAAAATCATACCTTTGGGTTATGACAGAACTGATCTCTAATCTGTGTCTATTCATTCTTTTACATATTTCCCCATCTGGCCAATATAAACAACAATGTAAGCAGGTGCCAATCTATATGATATTGGTGGAGAAGTCTGTACATGAACACAGGATGGTATATTTCATGTTGTTCAGTTCAAAGGTGTATAGTCTGTGTTAATGAGGGGGCATAACTGGCATCTGGGTCTATAGAAAGCCTTTGCTATAACTAAGGGCCCAGTTAACTCCTTTCTGAATTGAATAAT